AAGAGTACGCAGACATCATGGAAAGCCTGGTGGGGAGTTGCCTGACTGCAGGGGAGGCAGATGGAAAACAGGAAGAGGAAGAGCAGCAGCAGGGAGAAGGGATATATCCAGACCCCGGGCTCCTGAGCTACATCGATGAACTGTGTTCTCAGGAGGTCTTTGTCTCCAAGGTGGGCTGGCCCTGGACACCCTGTTCCCAATAGACCCTGGGGTGTGAATTCCAAGAAATGCATGTGTGTATATATATATATACATATATATATATATACACACACTCATGGATCTGCGTATGTGGGGGTGGGGGGATTGGGTCGGTCGTCATGGGTTTTAGCAACCCCAGGATAGGGGTGGGAGCACGTGGCTTCTTCTATAGGGTCTCTTGGCTTGAAGATCTTCATCTGTCAAGTACTCACTTGGCCTTCCACTCTCCAGGTGGAGGCTGTAATCCACCCTCAGTTTCTGGCAGACCTGCTGTCGCCAGAACAACAGAGAGATCCTTTGGCTTTAATTGAGGAGCTGGAGCAAGAAGAAGGACTCAGCCTGGCTGAGGTAAATCTGGCAAGTAGGGAATCTCAGCAGAAGCTGCTTAATAATTTTGTTTGTTGCTGTTTGGCGGGGCTACAGTTGGTGGGCCTCATGGCTAACTCCTGGCTCTGCCCTCAGCAACCATGCCTGATGAGGCTTAAGGAGGGACCATAAGGGGTGACTGGGATTGAACCTGGGTCGGCCAACTGTAAGGCAAGTGCCCCACCTTGCTGCGCCCTCTGGCCTTTGGTTTGTTTGGGGGCCATGACTGACAGTGCCCGTGTTTTGGGGAGTGACACTGGGGATTGAACGCAGGGCTCCTGCATGCAAAGTATGTGCTCTAGTCATCCAAGCCATCTTGTCAGCCCGAGCTCAAAGGGATCCCTGTCCCACCCCCACCCCCATTTTTGGTTTTGGGGTCACACAGTCACATTTAGTAGTTCTCCAGAGCTATTCCTGGCTTTGCAGTCCTGGCAGTGCTCGGGTACTGTACTTAGGTTTGGAATACAGTATTGTACCAGGATTGGCAGCACACAAGGTCAGTGTCTTAACCTTGGTGCTCTCTCTGGCCTGCAAGCTTGAGTTATTTCAGCTAAACCTTTGTGTTATATGTCATGACTTTTAGTGATGAGCAGCTTTGGGTGTGGAGCAGGTGAGGGAGAGTGGGCATGCAGGAAAGGGATGGAGTAAGTGCTCAGAGAGCTCCCACATGGGCGACTTGTCACTTTTGCCACTAGTTTGCCTCCTCAGCCATGCTCCAGGACCATCTCCTGGCCTTCCAGTCAGGTACCTCTCCTCACAGATGCATCTAGAAATATCTCTGTCCATTCTCTTTCTAGCTGGTGGAGAAGCGGCTCCTGGCCTTGGAAGAGGAGGAGGCAGGATGCAGCGGGGTTCAGTGGGAATCCAGCCCTTCTGTTTCTGACGAGGATGAAGATGGGGGAGGGCGGCTCCGCCCTTCACCTGGGGGCCGAGGGCCTGGGGGTGCCCCTCGCCTTGGGAAGGCTGCATCTCTGGAAAAGCGCGCCCGAGAAGGCCAGAGTGGGCAGGACAGGCCTCACAGGGATGGCAACACTCTGCTGACCCACAGCGGTTGGGACCTGCAGCTAGAACTTGCAACTCCCCAGGGAACTGCAGCATCCCTAGAAGCAGAGCCTAGAGGGTCCCCAGGGCAGGATGACTTGGGAGGTGCTGGGCTCCCCGAGGCGCTGCCTCTGTGTTGGCAGGAAGGGACCCCGCTCAGCCTAGGGCCCGATCTGGAGGTTGGACTGGCAGGGCTGAGTCCTCTGCCGAGTCAGGGGGTGGAGCCGCAGGTCCTGAGGCTGCAGGAAGATCAGCAGATGGGGGTCGCTGGAGTGCTCCCACTAGAGGAGCTGTCAGTGGGGGCTCAGGAGAGCTCTTCAGGAGCCCTGTGGGGAGAGGACGGAGGTCCCCTCCTGGTGCAGAGTTATCAGCAGGAGGACCCTGCCCTTGAGGCAGCCCCAGACACCCCAGCCCCCCTCAGCCCGGGGCTTTGGCTGGGTAGCGAGATGGAGACCATTGGCTTGGAACTGCCCCTGCAGATAGAGGAGGTCATAGAGAGCTTCCATGCCGAGGAGTGCACGGCGGAGGCCCAGGGGGGCTACCTGAGCCTGGAGTCAGAAAGCAGCATTTCTCTGGGTGCCAGGGAAACCATAGCGGAGGGTAAGGCGGGGAGAAGCGTGGCTCCCTGCGGAGGCACCCAGGAGGGCCTAGAAGAAAGAAGTTGTAGCTCCTTGCCTCTGCAGGCCGACAGCCTGGCCTTGAGGCCCACCGAGGAGGGGAAACTGAGTCCCGAGGGTCTCGGCAGCCCCGGCAGCCTGTGGGCTGACGGCTGCTCCCCGCTGCTGGAGAGCTCTGTAGTTGCCGCCACACTGGGAGTCTCCAAAGACTCTCTCCTGCCTGCCTGTCAAGGTGACCTCCTCATCCTGGGGCCCCAGGAGGTGGCCTCTTACCCGAAGGTGGGGAGCAGAGACTCCTCCATCACTCCTCTGCTGGGAACAGCAGAACTCTTACTAGATACCAGAGATGCCCCGGGCCTGCAGCTGCTGGAGGGGGCCGAGACCGACCAGACAGGGCAGAGTTCTTATGAGCCACCAAGTGAAGGAAGGGAGGATGCTGATTTGGCCAAGTCTAAAGATCTTTCCCCCTTACTGGGGAATCAACAGGCCCAGGTGCCTGGGACCCCCAAGTCAACATCATCTCGCCAAAGCCTTGGAGACACTTCCCCTGGATGGGGGGTGCCCTCAGCGGGGAGGGGATCCCCTCCGCTTAGCTCAGCAGACTTCAGGGCCAAGCTTGAGGACGAGGACGAGGATGAGGAACTCTCCAACTTTGCTTACCTCTTGGCCTCTAAGCTTAGCCTGTCGCCTCGGGCGGTGCCTCTCAGTCCTCATCCTGCCTCAGGCCTGCCCCTCACCGGGAAGGGCGTCCCCAGGGCATCAAAGCTGCTCTCTGCCGAGGCCAGAGGCGCAGGCAAACCACTGTATTCTCTTGCCAAGTCTTCCAAGCGAGCTCTGGCCACTGGGCCTCTCCGGGCTGAAAAGCAGCCCTACCCAAGAGCTGACCCTGGGGTTGCCCGGGAGACATCCCCACCACTGGGAGTGTCCCGAGCCTCACAGCCCCAGCCCCGTAAAAGGAGGCGCGATAGCTTTGTCACGGGCAGAAGGAAGAAAAGGCGTCGGAACCAGTAGAGAGCAGCGTCTCGGCCCTTTCTCCCCCGCCCTCTGTACCCCTCCCCCAGTGGCCTTCAATTTCGAGGGGTTGTGCACCAGCTAGACCCCGTCCCAGCTTTGTTGTTTGTTTGTTCTGCTGCTGTGGTGGTGATGCCTAGGGGAGATGCAGTATTTTTTTTCGGTGGGAGTCCAGGGGCAATACCTTTCTTTGGAAGTTGTTATGAGAAAAACAAATAAAAGGTTTTGTTGTTCTTAATGCTTTCCAGTGTGCTTTTCTTTTTTGTGGGGTGTAGGGGGAAGGTTCACGCCCAGTGATGCTCAGGGATTACTACTCCTGGCATTGCTTGGGGGACGATATGGGATGCTGGGGAAAGAATCCAGGTCAGCTGCGTGCAAGGCAAACGCCCTACCCGCGGTGCTCTCTCTCCGGCCTCACCTGTGTGCTCTTTTGTACTCAGTACTTTGCTGCTAGATGGGGTGAAGTGGTGTTATATTTAAAAAATAAAAAAGGAGGTGGGGGCAGTCCTGGGTTCTAGAACTGCATGACTCTCTGGCCTTTGGCCTCAGCTCCCTGGTGGGCTGCAGCCCCATGTCCCAGCTGATGGCTTCAGTCCTCCCTCCGTTAACTCATTTTGCTGGTGCAGAGGCTCGGAGATGGAAAGATGCTTCTATTTTACACAGCCCACCTCCGGAATTAGTATCTTTTTTTTTTTCTGTGTCACACCCAGCGATGCACAGGGCATACTCCTGGCTCTGCACTCAGGAATTACTCCTGGCAGTGCTTAGGGAACCATATGGGATGCTGGGAATTGAACCCAGGTCGGCCGTGTGCAAAGCAAATGCCCTATCCTCTGTGCTACTGCTCCAAGCCTCAGAATTAGTATCTTAACTGTCCAGATCACGTTAATTTTTCCCCCTTTTTTGAGGGGGGGGCAATGCTCAGGGGTTACTCCTGGCTTTACACTCATCAATCACTCCTGGTGGTGGTCGGAGGACTATATGGGATGCTGAGGATCGAACCCAGGTTGGCCGCAAGCAAGGCAAACGCCTTACCCGCTGTACTGTTGCTCGAGCCCCCAGATCAGATCAATTTTCCCTAACAGGTCCCTTTCCAGAGGATGGGGGCTGCAGGAAGTTTTTCTTCCTCCTTGAAAAAGAGAGGCAGGAGAGAAGGCCCTTGGATGCTCCCACTTCATGTGACAGCGCCTGCCTGCTACACGAGGAGGGCGGGGAAGACGTTCCTCCCTGCCTCAGCTCTCCTCCCTCAGTGGGGGGTGGGGGGAGGACTCACTTTCAGCGGGGCTGTTAAACACAGCAGAGGAGTTCGCTATTTTTCAAGTCTCTCTAATGAGGTCAGGACGAGGGGGAATAGGTGGAAAAGAGGTTTCTGAGGAAGCCTGTTAAAATGTGCACCTCAAGAACGATGACAGGAGAGGGTGGGAGCTCAGCGGGATTTCTGTGTGGCAGAGCCCCGGGCCAGCGCTATGTAGCTCAGCCCAGCTGTGGCCGAGAAGATGACCCTGGGAACCACCAGGGTCTTGTCACTTTTGGTTGTTTGGGGGACCACACCCTGCAGTGCTCAGGAATCACTCCTGGTAGGCTCAAGGGATCATACTAGGTGCTAGGGCATGAAACCCAGGCTGGCCGCGTGCTAGAGAGCACCTGACTCTACTCACTGCCCTTACCACTGTGGCCCCCAGGGTCTTGCAAGGGGCAGTCCACAACTCACCAACACCTTCCCAGCTGCTGAGTGCATCAATGACACACAGATTCAGTTTTTTTTAAATAGATATATATTTATATTTATATATAAAATAGTTTTTACAAAAAAAAAAAAAACGAAGGCCAACTTAAAAAAACAAACAACTATAACAAAACAAATCAAGCAGGAGCAAGAGATGGGCTTGCGGCCCAAGGGCAGGTCCCTGGCACGGCCTGAGCCTGCGGCCGGATGCAAGCGGGGGGGTGGGGCGGGGGTGCTCAGTCGCCCTTCTGCTTGGGCACAGCCCCGTTGGCCAGAGCGGGGGTGCTGTCTGGGGAGGCGGCGTTTGGTATTTGGGAGGGGCGCAGGTAGGAGCTGAAGAGCTTCCCGTGGAGCGGGTCATGGAGGGAGAAGTCCTGGAACTGACCTGGGCGAATCAGGAGTGGGGGGGGGGGGGGAAGAAGGATGAGACAGGGTCAAGGAGGGCGCCCGCTCTCACGGTTGCTGGCAAGAGAGCTCAGTTCCTCCCGACTGCCCACTCGTCCCCTCCCGGACCCGGGCATCCTCCTCGTGCAGGTGGCAGCTGGCGACACTCACTGAAGGAGAGGCCTGGGTGGGGTCCCGCCTGGCACAGCTCAGCGTGCAGTGTCTCGGCAGCCGGGCGGGGTGAGCCCAGGAGCAGGTGCAGGATGGCACTGAAGCCCTCCTTGTAGAGCAGTCGGCCGGGCCCCTCGGGCTGCTCCTCGGCAAAGAGCTTGGAAGAGAGGGACCTGGGGTCAGGGCCAGGCTCCCCCGCCATCCTGCCACAGGGTGGCCTGACTTGCTACCCTCGTCTGTCTGGTCACCTGTGCAGCCTCCGCCTCCCAGCCCGGGCTCTGGGGTATGGACAGTGCAGCGTGGAGGTGGCTCCTGGATACTCCCAGCCTGGCATGGCCCACAGGCTTCCAGGGGGAGTGCCCCGAAGCGGACCCCACCCCTCAATACCTCAAAGGCCAGGCGTGTCAGCTCCTCCAGGCCCCTGCTCCGGTCCAGGGCGGCCAAGGCAAGGGCCACATCGCGGAAGTCCACCAAGCCCTGGGCGTCCTGGGGGAAAGCAAACCAGAACACTATGGCGACCACTCCTCGCTCCCAGCCCTGCTCTCCTTCCTGCTTCTTCCTCTTCTTCTTTCTTTTTTTTTTGCTTTTTGGGTCACACCAGTGATGCTCAGGGGTTACTCCTGGCTCATGCACTCAGGAATTACTCCTGGTGGTGCTCGGGGGACCATATGGGATGCTGGGAATCGAATCCAGGTCGGTGGCATGCAAGGCAAACGCCCTACCCGCTGTGCTATCGCTCCAGCCCCTCCTTCCTATTTCTTGGCTTTTTTCTTCTCCTCCTCCTCCTCTGGCTATGAGCCCCCAGCCCTTGGGAATCCCCGAGTTCTCTCAGTGGGCCTCTCACGGGGACCTAGTGCCAGGACAGGTGGGGAATCCCTCTGCCATGATCTGATATACCACTGAAGTCATTCTTGGCCCCCAAGCCGGAAAAACTGGTTCTCTCTTGACTCAACCTTGGTGGGAGAACTGGTCCTGTTGACTCAAAGAGGGTCACTGGCACAATATCTCACTGAAAGGACAGTCCACGGAGATGGCCTGCGCCAACTCTGGGGGTGTGGGGAAAGGGGGAGCCTGAGAGCCTGAGATTCTGCTCCCCTGCAGGCCACCGGGAAGCTCTTCTCACAGTGTCCCCCCCTCCCCCCCCCCCGTCCAATCCAAGGAAGCCACACACCTGCCCACTGCATCCCTTCACAGCCTGCAGTTGAGGTCCAAAAAAGAACCTCTCCCTGGTTCACTGGTGGTTGTTCAGAATCCTCTGGGATTATTCTAATTTGAATCAAACCTGGCTAAGTCCCAGGAAATACATGGTTTGCCAAGATTCTTGAAAGTTCAGGAATTCCCTGGAGAAGCGATGGGATATTTAAAGAAATCGGCCCGAGCCATGCAAATGCCTCTGGGTCTCCAACTTGGATTCGTCTTGAATCTATCTGTCATTCCCTTCAGAGGCGCTTCCCCCCCATCCACCCCCAGCCCCCTGGACCCTCACCCAGAACCGACACAGTCTCAGTGTCCTGCCACCTCTGCCAGTCAGAAATGCATGCGCCTCGCTGCCTCCCTCCCCCACCCCCACCCCTGTCCCTCCCCACACTGCTCTTTCACCCAACGGACAAGCCTCGGGAGACAGCCAGTCTCCACAGCTGGGCGCCCTTCCTCAGCAGGTTCGACATGGCCATCTAATGGGTCCGACGCGGTGCTCGCATCAGCAACCCAGAGCCCCGCCCTCTGTGTCCGGCTACCTTTACCTGCTGGAAGTAGCCGAAGGCGCCAGCCACCGTCTGCGGGTCGGAGAGCTGGAGCTGCCTGGCGAACTCTTCCTGGCTGATCATCCGACTCCGGCCAGGCTCTGCTCCGGTGTCCACGCAGCTGGGGGACAGCCTACGGGGGGATAGGGGGAAGGCAGAGTGCTGACTCGGCTTGTTCCTGGGCTCGCCACCCGGCGGGACGTCGGCCCTGGCCCCAGGAGTCTCTGAGCTCAGGTCCAGCGGTGTTTTTCTAAGATGTGCTCTGACTCACCGCCCCTGGAGAGTCCTTCCTCCTCTTTCCACCCGGATGGTTATTTTTTCTGTCTCCCCAACCCCCTTCCTTTTACTCAGTAACTCTGAACAAAATCCTCTCTCCCTTTCTCCTTATTACTTTTATGGGCTTTTTTTTTTTTGCCACACTGGGGGGTGCTCAGGATTACTCCTGGCTCTCAGCTCAAGGATCACCCTTGGATGGGCTCCAGAGACCACACGGGGTGTCAGGGACTGAACCCAGGCCTGCTGTCTACAAGACCTTATCTGCTGTGTTATCTCTCTGCTCCCTGCTGCCTTTCTATTTTTCGAAGGCGGTCCTTCCGCTTTCCCCTTTCTCTTTATTCTTAGCCATCACTTAGACCCACCCAGCCCAGCCCTCCCTTTCAGTGTTACTCACCCAGCCTTCCGAAGCACCTTTCCCAGTTCCCAGAGCTGAGGCTCAAAGGCTACCTTCAGCCGGCCCACCACCATCACGGGCAAGCTCCCCACAAACTCACACTCGGTGGCTGGAATGCCCAGGGCTCTGGAAGGAGAAGAGCGACAGAATGGAGGGAAACCGAGGAAGATGGATCGCTTTGGCCTCTTCTCCAGGGAGACCTGGGCCCCTTTAACTCAGGCTCCCTGACCCCAGGGTTCCAAGAGTCCTCCCCCTGACCTGACCCCATCCCCTCCGGCCCACTCCCCATGACTGCTTCAATTCCCGACCCTCTTCCTCCCCCCACCCCCAGCTCCTTTGCCTTGTAAATCTGCTCCAGGAAATTCTTTGTAGGACACTCACTGTGCCATGACCCTTTGGACATTGTTGGCATAGAGGGTGGGGTCCCTGCTCTCCTCCGGGCTGGGGTGGTACACAGGGAGGAACTGAAACACAAACACCATTTCCATCAGGACCTCACAGAGCCAGGTGTGACCAGCGCCACCCGCTTCCCTAGAAGCTTCCGGGTCCAGCGGACCTCGGTTCTGTGCCCCTGGCAGCCGTACCTCCACATCCACGATGCTGCAGGGCTGAGAGGCTGTGAGCCAGAGCACCTTGAGTCTAAAGGAAGACAGAGTTCCAGTTCTCCCCAGTCCTACCTGAGGGCTCTCCAACCCTGAGGAGGGGGATGGGGGGGGGCAGGAGGGGCTTCTGTCCATGGACACCGAAGCAGATTCCTGGCCGGACAGTCAGCCAGATGGATTCGCACTTGGGAGATGGAGGGAAGGGCCAGACAGGCAGAAGGCAGAGGGCAGTGCTGCAGGGACCGGCAGAGGAGGAGGGGCAGGCAAGAAGTTTGGGAGGCGGCCAGCAGCAGGACTCTCCAGAAGGGCCACGGGAGGAAACGAAGGGAAGGACACCCGTAGTCCCCACCAGAATGATCAGGCGGAAGGGCTGAGCGCGTTTCAGGGGAGATTTGCAGATCAGAACGGGACAGAGGGAAACGGGCAGCCCCTTCTCGAGGCCTCTCTTAGTGGAGAGTGAAGAAGGACGGTTCACCTGGTCTGGAGAGCGGAAGATGGGCAGGAATTCTCTGACGGACCCTGCTTCCCACCCTCACCCCGGGAACACCAGAACTCACACTCCAGGGCCCCTCCACGCCCAGCTGGTGGTGTCCTGCGGGAAAAGCATGGGGAGGGCAGAAGGGTGAACCTCGTTTGTTTGGTTTGGGTCACACTTGGCGGTGCTCAAGGGCCACTCCCAGCTTAGTGCTCAGGGGACTATTACGTGCTGAGGATCGAATCTGCGCCCTGCCCCTCCCCCCCGCAAAGCATTCCAGCATGTCGAGTTGAGTCCCCAGCCCATAAAGGCATAAAGGTGAGCCCCTTGGAACCGGCCCACCCTGGACCCCAGCCCCCAAGGACCACCACAGCATGCCCGTGTCCACTGCCCTTCACCCTGGCAAGACTCACCAGACTGTTGGGGTAGCGAATGAGGACAGGCTGTACAGGCACCCCTGCGATGAAGGCTCCTACCCGCATCCCACCCCACCCCCAGGCACAGGTTAGCAAACAGAAGAAAGTATGCAGGGTTGCGAGGCCAGTCCCCAGATGGAGCACTGGCTCCCGTCTCCCTCCTCCCTCTGAACCAACCAGGAAGCTCCCGGCTGTTTTGTCTGTTTCTTTCCCTCCACTGTGGGGTGAGTCCAGCAGCCCCCCTCCACATCCAGGCCCCCTTTTCTCCTACCATCCCACCGTCCACCAGGCTTTCACTCACCGGGTTTGAATTTTAGCAACGCCTTCTTGTTGGAGCATGTGCCCTCAGGGAAGAACAGGACCTTCGGGGAGAGAGAGGCCACAGCCCAGGGGCCCCAGTCAGGGAGCGGAGGCTGCGGAGGGGGAGCCAGGGCTACCCCGCTCCTGCTATCCCTTACCCACCTGGGGCCACTTGCCTCCGGAGGTCGCCCGCCTTCGGACCTCCTCCACCACCCTGCGCCGGGAAGCCGGGTCGTGCCGGGACACGAGGATAGCTTGGTTGAAGCGGAGAAGGGCTGGGGTGCAAGAGGGCACAAGGAGTCACTAGGTTACCAGCGTAGGGGAAGGCATCAGGAACAGCCAGGGGTGAGGCTGGAGCGATAGCAAAGCAGGTAGGGCGTTTGCCTTGCATGCTGCCAACCCGTGTTTGATTCCCAGCAACCCATATGGTCCCCTGAGCAGTGCCAGGGTAAGTCCTGAGTGCATGAGCCAGGAGTAACCCCTGTGCATTGCCGATGTGAACCAAAAAGCAAAAAACAAACAAACAAAAAAACCAACAAAAAAACAAAAGACAAAAAAAAAGGAACAGGCAGGGTAGGCTCTCCTTAGCTGCTCCTGGAACGCCAACCCCCTACTTCTGTCCCTCTCAGGGAAACCTTAGAGTACAGTGCTCTGATAGAGCTCACACTGTAAGCCAGCCAGTGTCCCTTCTGACTTCTCCCTCCCACTGAGGCTACCTTCTCTCTAGCATACACATTCCTGTCCTTTTTTTTGAGGCGGGGGGGCTCAACACTGTCCTCCCTCCCTCAACCCGCATGCCCCTCTCACCTCCAATGACAGGCACAGAAAGGTTCTCGGCTCGGGATACCACCTTGGGAAGATCACAGGGCAGCAGAACGATGGGGTCAAAGAAGGTCGAGTGTGGGGCAGCGACAAGGACGGGGGCCTGAAGGCGGGAGGCCCGCTGGCCCCGCACGCGAATCCGGAGGAAGCCCAGCAGGAAGAAGAGCAGGCGGCTCAGGCCCAGCACCCCATTGTGGCACACTGTCCTGCAGAGCAAGAAGGGGGTCAGCGGTGGTCCAGATCCTCAAGCCCTCCAGAACTTAGGCACAAAAGAAACAGACTCTGAAATTTGGGGGCCGCACCTGACCGTGCTCAGGGTGGGGTGAGCTATATACACAGAGTGCTGGCAACCAAAACTGGCACTATCTCTCTGCCTCGGAAGCCCCTTTTTTGGTGTCCTCAATTTCCAGGGGCTGAAGATGAGGAGGGAGCTAGGGCATCTTGGGGGGATCACTTAAGAGATGACGGTCTGGGTACTGAGTCTGAGTGTGACCATCTCATCAGGCTGGTAAGAGCGTGCGGAACCCTCCCCATGCCCTTCTTCTCCAAGAGGTGACACCGTGATGGCAGGGGAAGGGCAAGGAGAGGCACGAACCCTGGGTGCCAGGGGCTCACTTACTTCCTCCATCCTGACACAGGTTCCCGGAGCTGCTCTTCGGTGAGACCAGCCACTTGCAGCCAGGCAAAAGGCCAGAGGAGAAAGAGGACGATGAAGGCCAGAAGCACACGGATGGGGGCCAGCAGAACCCCCAGGAGGCAGAACTGAAAGGGGCCGGGGAAAGAAGACCACTTCAGGCCCGGAGCTGCCCCCTCCAAGGCGTCCTTTTTCCCACCAGGAGAGAAAGCAGGAGACAGGTGGTTGGGAACAGCCCAGGGCGGGCCTGGAACCGTGGGGGGTATGAAGGACCAATGAGGGCAAAAGCAGAAAGGATGACTCGCAGCAGGTGCCTCGCTTGTATTCCCCACCCTACCTATAAAAGGCCTGTCATAAATGCATGTAGCACTGGGGAGAGGCTCTGAAGAGGGTTTAATGATAAGGCATGCAAAGCGCCCAGCTTCATAGAGAGGAAGCTAAAAGCAGTGTCCTCCTCCACGGCCGATTCCATAAATAGTGTCCAGGCCCAGAAGACAACCAGGGGCATGGTTCTGTCTGTTCAGGGTCAGGGTGGCAGAGGGTGACCCCCACAATGAGATATGGAAGGGGCACCTTTCAGGAGCGGCCAGTGTCCACCACCTGGACCCAAATGCACCGCCCCACCCCCACCCCCAGGATCGGGGGATGGAGGGGGAAGAGGCCGGTGCTCATCCTTCTCCGCAAAGCTGGGGTTGCCAGGAGCCGGGGTGACTCCATGGGCGGCCCTAGGGAGAGCGCAGGTAAACAAACGGCGCCCCAGGAGCCGGACCCAGGGGAGGTGATGGCAGTGCTAAGCTCGGACACTCCCTGGCCACCGCATTCCCCCGGCGCCCCGCGGCGGGTGCAGCCCTCCAAGGCCCCGAGTCAACCCCCACGCCCGGCCTCCCTCCTCCTCCTCCACCCCCACCTCCACTTCGAGGTGCTGCAGTGCGGGGACTTGGGGGGGGGGGAGGAGTGAGGAGAGGGGATGTCGGAAGGGCACCGGGACACCGGCTCTAGGTCCAAGTCTCAGGCTCGGGGCTGCACCCCGCACGCCCCCATCCCCCGCCCCCGGCTCCCGGGAGCCTCCAACTCCTTCCACGGTCGGCGGCCGCCGCAGGCTGTCACCGCATCCTCCACCGCCCCCACGCCGTGTCCTCTGCGCGCCTCCATCCTCACCAAGTCGCTTCGCACCTGGCTCCGCGCCGGCCTCCGCGATCTCCCCGGGGCGCCCCCACGTGCGCATCCCCGGACCCCACCCCCACCCCCGCGCCCCGATCCTCCCTCCACCCTCTCCGTTCATCACCACCTTTCCCGACCTCCACCCCTCACCACCCCCACCCCGTCTCCATCACGGTCCCCCGGGCTCCAAACGGCCCCTTCTTCCCTAGCCGACCCCACCCCACGAGTCCACCCGACGCCCCCCCACCACCCCCCGGCCCACGCCTTACCTTAACCCTTTGGAAGCGGGAGAGATGTAACTCGTGCACGAAGGGGTTTGGGGGCGCTGGGGGTCCGGAGGTGGGGTCGAGGGGGGCCCAGTCCCCCGGCCTTCCCTGGCTCATCGCGGCGGGTGGGCGGGCGGGCGCCCCGGCCCCAGCCCCGGGCCCCCACTCGTGCAGAGCAGCAGCGGCGGCGGCGACCGAGCGGCTCTGGCCCCGGCCGCGCCTGGTGCGGGCGCCGAGGGGCGGGGAGCGGCGTGCGCGGCCCGGCCCGGCCCGCGTTGTCAGGGCGCCGGCCGCGGGGCGGGGCTTCCAGCGCTCGGGCCGCCCCGCTCCGCGCCGCCGCCGCCGCCGCCGCTCGGGCCAGGGTTGGGCGGCCGGGGGGCGCCCCTGCCCGGGCCCCCGGCGCCGCGGCGGGAGAGCTGGGGGTGGGGTGGGGGTCGCGAGGTGGATGCCCCGGCCCGAGCGTCCGGGCTGCGCATCCGAGCGCACAGCGCGGGTGGGGCTGCGGGCGCGGGCTGCGGAGGCTGCTAGGTGGCCCCGAGGCCAGGCGGAGTCCGGCTGCCCGCGCGGGGGACCCCCACCCACCCACCCACCCTCGGCATCCTGCACGCGGCCCGACCACCTCGCCTTCCCCGTGCGGGCCACGCCACGGCGCGAGGACCGGGGGGCGCGCGCCCTCTGGCGGTTGCGCGGGGCCTCATACCTGTACCCCGCACCCCCATGCCTGGGCTGGCAGCCCTAGTCAGGCGCTGGTTGCTCCCTGGATGCTTCCTTCCCCCGACTCGACCAGACCCGGGGAACCGGGCAAGGCCGCCGGGGTGTCCACGGAAGACGCCCCTCTCTCTGAATCTCAGGCCTCGCCCCGTTACCCCCTCTGCAAGAATCAGAGGACACGCGCGGTGCTGCGCTGGCTGCCAGGCATCATCAGGGCAGAGGGTGGATGGACTTTTTTTGAGATCAACAGCAGGAACACAACCGGAAACAAAGTGACGGCCCCTCTGCCTTCCCACCACGCCCCCAAAGAGCCCTCTGCTCCAAGGGCTCTTGGCTAGGTGCGTTCACGGCATAGGGTTTGGTCTGCCTCGCTGTGGTCACCATTCTGTGAGGGTCTTGGGGATCTGCTGGCTCATCGGGTATCATTCATCATTTCCTGGAGTTGGGACCAGCAAAGGCCAGAAGTTGCTCTACTTTGAAACGATGTCCTTTCCCTCCCTGCCCCATACATTTCTCACATTCTCTTGCCCATCAGTTAACACCTGAAGTCGGACAGGGTGTCTGACTGAATACTTATGAGAGGTGGGTGGGGAGGGCTCCCAAGCAATGCTCAGAGGGCCTGAGGTCATTTCCAGCCACACTCAAGGAGCCGGGTGGTTCCAAGTGTGGACTTGAGACCAGTTGCTGTCAGGGGTCCTCTTGCATGTGAAATCATCAGGGTCACCCTAGGGATGCAGGGGTGGAAGATACTCAGGTCATAACCTGATCCCTGGTTGCCCCCAGGACATTTGCCTACCCTGGAGATTTTTTTTTATTTTTCTGGTCTTAGGGTCACACCTAGTGGTGCTCAGGGACTGCAGGTGCAAAGCAATCACCTTAACTCCTGTACTACCGCCCCCCCACCCCCACCCACCACCCCCGTTTGAAATAGATTTCTTAAAGTTTCCTCACGGTCTCGGTCCTCCCGTTGTTCATCGATTTGCTCGAGCGGGCCCAGTAACGTCTCCATCATGAGACTTGTTGTTACTGTGTTTGGCATATCGAGTAGCTTGTCAGGCTCTGCCGGGAGGGCGAGATGCTCTCGGTAGCTTGCCGGGCTCTCCGAGAGGGGTGGAGGAATGGAACTCGAGTGGGCCATGTTGGCTTGTACAAGGCAAACGCCCTACCGCTGTGCTTAGAGTAAGATTTCGTAGTTCTCTAACCTAGCGAAAATGAATGTTACTGGGAGGCTAGAGAGATATGATAGTGGGCAAAGCTCTTGCCTTGCACGCGACTGAGCCAGGTTCTATCCCCAGCACCCCATATGGTCCACTAGCACCACCAGAAGTAAACCCTGAGCACCTCTGAGTGTGGCACCAAAACAAAACAACAAAAAACTGCAAAAGCGATAACTGGTGGAAATGTGACTCAGTGTTAGAGTACTTACTGTTATTGACTTTCTGATAATTCCATTTGCCATTGCTTTAAGGATATTTTTATATATTTTTAATTACTATGAATTACAGTTTCAAAGTTAGTCATTAATAAGTTTCAGGTGGAGCTGGAGCGATAGCCTTGCGTGCGGCCGCCTGGGTGAGCCAGGTTCGATCCCTCCACCCCTCTCAGAGAGCCTGGCAAGTTACTGAGAGAATCTCGCCCACACGGCAAAGCCTGGCAAGCTACCCCTGACGTATTCCATATGCCAAACACTGTAACAAGAAGTCTCACAATGGAGACGTTACTGGGCCCGCTCGAGCAAATCGATGAACAACGGGAGGACAGTGCTACAGAGCAGTGTGTTAGTTGTTAGCATTGAGTTGGAGTTGGAGCAAAGTTTCAGGCATATAATGTTCCAGCACCAATCCCTTCACCAGTGTCCACTTCCCTCCACCAGTGTCCCCAGTTTCCCTCCCCTCCCACCCTACCCCCTTAACTTCTATTATTATTGAAGATAATAATACTTTTGTCCTAAAGAGGAGGAGATAATTTTTTAAAAAAATACCTACTCTGTGTTATTTTGTTCCTAACAGCCTTGGGGCAAGAGTAGGAAACATTTGCTAAGGGCTTGGGTGTGGGGAGAACCACTTAATGGTGTTTTAAAAAGAAACAGACCCCAAATCGAGTTGCTTCTTGAAAAGACACTTCAAACCCAAATTCAGTATCTAATTTAACTGCAGTTTCAACCTCTCCTCCAATCCAATCCAGATCTGTCAAGGTCAACAGTGACAAACAGGAGTCAGCAAGAGGTCTGGGGCCCCAGTTAGATCAGGGCTGTGTGAAAAAAAAACCCATTATGGTAGGTAATCAGCACCCTCCCCCCCCCCCCCCCCATTTAACCTAAAGGAGGAAAGCTTTGCCTGAAGCAATCTTTTCTTTACTAAGTATCTTAAGGTGTTCTATGCTCTAAGAGCCTTCGTTCATAGCTGTATTTCAGTGACTGTGAAAGCAAAGTGGTCAAACAATAGATTCTGAACAAGAAAATTTGTACTCAGGAAGAATGATTGAATTTCTCCACAATGAGAAGCAATGAGGTCATAATTTAACCCTGACAGGATGGAGCAGGAAGCAAGAACAAAATGAAAACGGAAGATGATGGTGATGAAGAAAACAAATGATGGAAAACTGGAAATCCACACGAGACAAAAGCCTAAGGATTGTGATCATTTCTACAGAGAGACCTGGAAACCAGTACAACGGCTCTTTGTATAACTACAGTGTAACTACCAGCACTGGTAGTATGTGATTATGTGTAATTTAATTACATAGCAATTTGCATAATTATTATTACTCTGTGGGTTTGAGCCCTAAATAACTTGCCCTAGAATGATCATAATTTGTTAAAATATTAAAAGCATAAAAGGCAATTTATAGTTATGTAATGAATTGCTTTAATTAAAAATATAGAAACCTATTACTTAAAGGTTGAAAAATAAAGTATCTAATCACATTATACATTTTAACTTGTATTCCTCAGTAATTTTTAAATTTTCTTTTTTTCCTCATTTTGTTTGGGGGCCACATCTGGCAATGCTCAGTAGTTAACTTCTGGCTCTGTGCTCACAGAAATTACTCATGGCTCTGTGCTCAGGAATTACTCAGGGGACCCTATAGGGTAGCAGGGATCAAACCTGCCTCAGCCTCGTGCAAAGCTGTTGTAGTTACCTGATGGCCCGTGAGTTTTCTGTTTGTTTTGTTTTGGTTTGGTTTGGTTTTTTGGTGGTGGTGGGCATAAAGTCCAGGTCTGAGGCATGCAAAGCATCTGCTTTAGTCCTGAGCCACATCGCAGGCTCCACAATTTCAAATTTTTACAGGCTAAGAACTACAGCTGATAATACAGAGCAGAAGACTTGAGCTAATTCAGACTCTACTTTGTCTTTTAATCTACTGTGGATTGAATTGTGTCCTCTCAATCTGAATGTCGACGCCCCTTCCCACAAAGTATTTGGTGGTGGAGCCGAAGATAATTAGTTTTAGGTGAAACCAGGGGAAGTGGGGCCCTTATATTGGTATTAATACCTTTTCAAGAAGAGCGCTGAGGGCCAGGGAGATAGTACAGTGGGTAAGGTGCTTGCTTTTCGTGCAGTTAATCCTGGTTCAATCCCTGGTACTGCATACAATCCCTAAGCCCTACCAGAAATCACTCTAGCACAGACCCAGAAATAGCACCTGAGCACTATTGTGATTCACTGACACACCAAAGCAACTGTCATTTATCTCAAATCTGCGATTGAAATAAAAGTCATACTATATGCCGGCTACATGACTGGTACTTGATGTAGAATCTACATTCTAGACCTTCACAAACATATGAATGAATGGGAATAGAGCCCAGGAGATGTCTCAAAGGACTGGAACACATGTTTTGCATGCTAGTTCAATTCCTGGCACCTCACAGTCCCCCCAAGCACCATGCTGGAAACACCCCTTGAGCACTGTGGTGGGAATAGTTCTCCTAGCACTGCTGGGTATGACAGCCCCTTCTCCAAAAATTGGGCATAGCTGCTGAGTCCACTTGTTCCTGGCGGCAATCGTGTAATTGGGGGTTCTTTGAGTTATATGCCACATAGATTATGATATTTATTAAAGAGATTAAGAATATCCAACTTGAAGTTTAAATGTTAGTAAAACTGAATGGCAATCACAGCTGCTTACAAGAATGTTTGTTTAATTTTTCTGTCTTTCCTTTCCCTTTGCTGCTATGATTGTGATGTCTGAGGAGAGTCACCCATGTGCTTGGTGGTGGTGCTCCCCTCTTAGCTATGGTGCTCACCAGGGGTCTCCCACTTTAATTGTGGGGCATGCACACATGTTCAGCAGGAGTTTCACACTTAGTTGCAGAACTTGCACAAATCTGGACTGTGCTGAAGGTCACAGACTCGGCTCTGGGGGGTCCCAGACAGCAGAGACACCAGAATCTTGCTTGATGCATGTGGGTGACATTGGGGATTAAATTCACAGCCTCTCGTTTGCAAGGTA